GGTTGTGAAGACGGACAGCGTGATGCATGGCGTAGGGCCAGTACTTCGCGTCAACGTCGCTCTGCTGCAGAAGTGCACGAACCTTGGTCATGAGTGTGCGGCTGGTGCGTGCCGCGACGCCTTCTTGGGGATGTGCGTAGGGGAGGGAGTGCTTGTAAATGATGCCTTTCTCCTTCATGAAGGCCTGCATTTTGTCGCTCTTGAATTCGGCTGCGCAGTCAGTTTGCCAAAGTTTGATGGTGCAGCCTAATTGAGTCTTTGCATTGGCGTGCCAGACCTTGACGATGTAGAACGCCTTGCTGCGGTGGGAGACATTGGCTACCCAAACAAAGTGGGAATGGGCGTCGACAAAGGTGAGGGTGTACTCTTCGCCATTAATGCCTGTCTGAGTGAGTACGAGAAAGTCACTATAAACTTTCTCCAGTTTTCCGTAGCGGTTGGTTCCAGGCTGAAGAAGCTTGAAGGGCTGATGATTGAGAGCAGCTTCAGGGCAAATTGTGCAGTCGGTGCGGTAAGTGGTGTTGATAGGGACAGGAGTGCCATCTGGCGTAGCAGTGTTACGGGGAGGAAAACTTGCGCGTGAATGCAGGCGTTTGTGCCATAGGTCAGGTTGGGCGCGAATGGCAGGTGAGCGTGTGTAAAAGGCGATGAGTTCGGCGATGTTAGTGGGAGGTGGCTGTGAGATGGGCTGTGGTGAGATTGAAAGGCCAAGTGCAAGGATGGGTTCACGAGCAGTGGGAGCTGGAGCGATTGTGGTGATGGCTGCGAGTTGTGGTGTGATGTCATCTGTGTCTGCGAGGTGGGCGGGCTAGGAGCAGGTGAGTCTGTAGGGCCAATGGGCGTGGACTCAATATGAAGCGGGCTTCGGGGATAGGTGCGGTAGGGCAAGATGGTGTCGCGGTCGATGGGAGGTTGAGAGTATGGGGAGGAGCCCTAGGAGTCGCTGGTAGGTGAGGTACCTGTGGGAGGGATGCCGAGGGGACGTGGAGACCCATCGGGTCCTCTGGCTTTGTCTGCTGCTTCTTGGCCAGCGCGAGCGGTGACGTCGTTTATCAGCTCCTCTTGGTCCAACATTGAGGGGGCTCCCCAGTTTGGTGCAGTCTCCCCCCATCTTGTTGTGCCAGCTTCGCTCCCCCATCCTCCAGCTCCTGCAGCTGCCGCCGCCTTTGCTTCTTCGTCTGCGCGGCGACGCCGTTCTTCTTCTTTGTGGCGCTAGAACTCCTCGGTGGTCATGATGCGATGGGACCAAGGGTGATTGATGTGGTAGGTCTCCCAGGTCATTAGTAGGGAGTTGTTGTTTTAGTCAAACGCGCCTGGTCCTGTGTAGCGTGTGAGGATATGGAGGGGATCGTGGACAGTGGGGTCAGTCCGAGTCTTGCGCGGTTGAAAAGTGGTGAGTGCTGCAGTGAGCTCTTCATCCCTCATGCCAGTTGGGTGAGGGGTCTGCCATTCCGCTTCTTCGACAATATCTAAGCCAGCGGGCTGGATGATTGGTCCGGCCTCCTCGGATGAGTCAGATTCTTCAGGAGATTCGTATGCTTCACGTGCTGGTGTAGTTGACAGACGCCTTGCTGCGGCAGCGGAGGATTCGCCTTCGTCAGCTGGTGCCTTGCCCCTGTTGAATGGCGGGCTGTGACGGTGAGTGGGTGACTGTGCACTGTCTGTTCTCACTGTTATGGAGGCTGTTGGTGTGCGGCAGTTCCGGCAGAGGCCATCGGGCCAGGTGCGTGAAGGTCGGTCTCCCTTGGATGAGCGTGATGCTTGATCCAGGGGCGGCCGTCATGATGAGTAGGCTTGTGAGACCACACGACGTCCTATGGTTGCAGATCAATGAGATCCCCTGAGTCGGTGCTGCAATCGAGGATATCGAAGTCGAAAATGTAGACGCCATTGTTGGAGTGGGCTTTGCCGATGTGTCGTGGTATGCTGTTGGGTTTGCTGTATTCTTTCCAGTGCATGAGGATGCAGCGGATTTTTTGATCAATGGTTATGAGAACGCAGCTGTGAACAAGTTGATTGTAGGATAGAAGACTGTACTGTAGGTCCCGCACGATGAGAAGGTGCCTCCGATTGGTGTGCGGAGTGGGGCGGTGAATGCGCATCGCCATGTTGCCCATGATATGCGGTCGTTGTTGTGTTGTGTTGTGCGCTGTGTGTCGGGCTGCGATGGCTGGCGCGGGGCAGACCGATAGTCTGAAGATGATCGGTTTGCCTAACGCGTGTAGTCGGTACCGTAGGCGGAGTTGTTGCGCGGCGCGGAATCATGTCGCGGTCCGGATCGGGTGCGTTCGGTGGAGTGACCGAAGGCTTTGCAGTTTTTGCAGTAATACTGGGGTGGGCGTGTGTCGTGATTCCTCCGTTGATCGCGATTAAAGTAAAAGGCGATTTGTTCGCGGCGCGTCCCCTTTTCCTGGTTGAAATCCATGTCTCGCTGTTCGTGCAGCAGAGTAGCGCAGAGGTGCGCCTCGGAGATTATGCCCTGTTGGCGAAGCAGAGCCTTGTAGAGATTCCAATGTGGTCCCAACAATCGAAGTACGATGGTAACGAACATGTCCTCGAAGATTGTGTTTTCGAGCTTCAGTAGTTGGTCGAGGACACTGCGGCAGCGATTGATGTAAGAGTTTGCCTTCTTGCCAGGTGCCATCTTGACTTCCATGAGTTGCTGGAGCAAGCAGCTGGATGATACGGAGTCCTTAGGCTGGTAAGTTTTGGTGAGGTAGCTCCAGACGGCCATGGCGGGAGCTTGGTGGGTTTTGTAGGGGCGTATGGCGAGTTGTTCGGTTGGCGCCATGTTACGGAGAAGAACGCTATACGCATTGAATGACTCGTTATAGCACTGAGCCTTAGCAACGTCAGTGTCGCTAGTAGGGCCAGCGTAGCTTCCGTCAAAGTAGCAAAATATTTGCGCGTTTTGGAGAAGTAGCTCGAGCTCGAAACTCTAGGTGTAAAAAGCTCGTCCGCTAAACAAGGTGCTGGTGCAGATCCTTCAGATTCTCAGAATCTTGTTCTGAGCTGCGAGCACGGCTTCGTCGCTTGGACGAGGAACGGTTGGAGCAGAAATGTTGAGGCGGAGGTCCGGAGCGCGGGTTACAAACCGAACCGTAAGGTTGAGACGCGTCATGAACAGTGGCGGGAACATTGGTCGAGGCTAGTGTCGCGAGTGGTAACGGTGCACTGTTGGGTACTGTAGGCAGAAACAGTCTTGTACGCTGTAAGCAGGGGCGCGAAGTACGGAAAAGGATATGCTACTGTCCATTTCAATAAAAACAGATCAAAACATGCGGTGAACAATACGCACACTAGTGATATCTTACTGATTGTATAAAACAAGGATATGCTAATATCGAATAGACCTTCTGGCATCTCTCCTTCCCAGAGCAAGTAACACGGGGCGCGATCTCTCCTTCCCAGAGCTAGTTCGCCACTTTCGCTCACAGCAATTCCGCGTGAAGCGAACCGCATTCTGTGCAAACCCCTGCCCAGCCCATCGCAGGTTCGCCGCACCTCACTCATCGTCGCCCACGCTCATCCCATTCGATCGCCGCAAACCAGCCGTTAATCACCGCGTCGTTGACTCCTACCGACGAGTATAGGTTGGTTCGAGCGTTACGAGAAAGTATTTAGTCAAGGGTTAGCCGCAATCTCAATCTCACAATCTAAACCTACTAAAGCAGCCCTCAGTCACAAGCTTTCTCCCACATTTCGCAACCGTTCCTAATCGCCCGACTGCCTTCCTCAACCACCCGAGTAAAGTACGTAGCGTAAGATTCGTACGTTCTGGTACCAGCAGCGATCACCGCCGCACTTTTTCCCTACTATAGTGTTTCCCGCATTTCGTCCCCATGGCGCGTTCTCCTCTAGCCTCCTCGCTTGTGGCGGCACTGCTTGTAACCGCGTTATTCGCATCATGCGCACAGGCTAGAATCGGCTCCAACGGACTGCTCGGGAATCGCCTCCCGAACCGACCAGCTCAAGTCACCAGCACCATCACTAGCACCGTGTCCGACCTAACATCCGCGTTACAAGCCCAAGTCGTTTTATTAGAAGGAGCGCTGACGCAATCGCTGGACAAGCTTGCAACCGCACTGAACGACAACGCATCCGCGGCGACATGGGCTCTTCAAGCGCAGGTTTTCGCCCTCCAGAGCAGCATTGACGCTCTCAACGCACGCATTGCCAACCTCGACCTGATCTTATACCTTAGAATCACGCGACCCGGCGGCGTTACTCCCCAGGCGACACCCGTCACGCTCCAGTCACGCATCTCGTCGCTTACAGGCAGCCTTCCCGCCATCAACAAGCGCGCCACATCGCTCAACACGGACCTGGCGGGAATTCTCCTTAACATCCGCGCGTTGCTGAGTCAGCGAGTGGCGGCGCTCACTCAGAGGGTGGGCGCACTGAATGTGGACGTGTCGGCGCTCGCTGCGCAGGTGGACGCGCTGATCGCCCCGCTGAGTGACGCCCTTGGCGTGGCGGACCTCGTGGCTCTGCTGCCGCACCCAGCAGGTCAGCCCCGCCAACCCTAACCCCGCTAACCCTGGCCCCACAATCCCAACCCCGCAAATCCTAACTCTGCAAACCGCGCTGTTGTTGTACCCCGACAGTGCTCGTCATTCTTAACAGCCTTGCGTCGCTTTTGCTCATTCTTGCACCATTTCTGCTATTGCTCATTCCGTATCATCTCTGTTGCTGCTGCTCATTCTGCACCATTTACTGCTGCTACTCATCCTTGCGCCATCTGCTGCTGCTCTTTGTTGCACCACCTGCTGCTGCTCTTTGTTGCACCACCTGCTGCTGCTCTTTGTTGCACCACCTGCTGCTGCTCTTTGTTGCACCACCTGCTGCTGCTCTTTGTTGCACCACCTGCTGTTGCTCTTTGTTGCACCACCTGCTGCTGCTCATTGTTGCACCATCTGCTGCTTCTGTTTGTTGCACCATCTGCTGCTTTTCTTGGGCTAACTCTCTACTGCTTCTCTTGATGATCCCCATCACTGCAGGCATGCTGCGTGGCGTGCTCACCTCGTGTGAGGGCCTTCTCCCGGTGGGAGCAGCCAACATCCAGATCACCAACATGTAAGCCACAGCCCCTCACTCTCCTCCAACCTGCACCCTTACCTGTCGGAACCATGCATCGTCTCTCTTAACCATCTTATCATTGCTTCCCTGGACTTCCAATCCAAATCTGCTCTGACTTTCACAACCAGTGCCGTCCAGCTAAGGTTACATTTATATGAATATCCCTTGTTCAACCCCCCCACCCCCACCCGCACCCTCTCCTCTCTCCTCCCCCCTCCGTCCCCCCCTTCCGCACGGCAGGGGCTCGGCGTACGCAGTGGCGTACGAGCTGGTGGCGACGGGCATGGCGGAGGCACCGCAGGCGGCGGCCATCTACAGCGGCAACAGCACGTGCGGGCAGGCAGCCCCACCCGTGGCGCTGCAGCTGCCCGGCACGTGGCAGCTGCTGAGCTCCGTGTCGTGGTCGCTGGCCAATGTGCTCACTGTCGCGCCGGCGGACCTGGCGCCCGTGCTCAGCGCCATCCAGGCGGGCGCCAGTGGGCAGCTCTACATTGGCTTTGCCGGCACCAGCAGCAGCTTGTCGGGCAAGCTGATTAGTGGCAGGTTTTGATGGAGAGGAGAACGGGAGAAGGATGCACAGGGAGATGGTTGTGTGATCCGAGAAGGAACATCACAGATGCTCCATGAATGCCTCTACAATAGGTTAGTTTCCAGGATTCTGTGCATTTGTGATGTTCCTTCTTATCGAGTAGTAGATGATGTGTACATATCAAATGAAATATGGTATTATAGAAGCTGGCCTATCAAGATCAGATGATGTATCCCACCGAGGCAATCTCACAGGTGAAAAAAATACCACGTGATGAAATCTCATCTTTACTTCCAATCATGTGCGGTTGCTAGTTGTCGGATACCATCGGTGCAGGCCCTCAGATTGGTTTGAGGGCCCTCACATCTGGCCCGGTCTCTCTCTGGCGCTGCTTGCTCCTTGCGCTTGCTGGGGCGCCTTTCTTGGTGCTCCTCCAGATGTCCACCACCTTCTCCCACTCCATGTCGTAGTCGAGCAGGCTCAACGCCAACAGGTCTCCGAGCTTGGCGTTGCAGAGGCTCGTCCGGCGCCACGACTTGATGACTTTTTGGCGGGAAAACCTGCGTTCGCACTGGACTGTGCTAATTGGCAGAACAGCCACCTCAGCCCACAGACGGACTTGGTTGGGGTAGCTGCTCTGCCAGTCGCTGGTCTGCAGGATGGCTTTCAAACCAGCATGGAACGACTGCTCCTCCTTGGGGCCAGTGGTGAGAACCGGCAAGAACGTGCGCAGCTCCGCACGTTCCGCACGCTTCTGGACACCTGCCAAACAGGAAATGCAACCGGGAAGATAGTCAAATACACAAAGGGGAAGAGATTCATGCACCCAAGGAGCGAGAAAGTGCACGCACACACGCAGAGAAGGGCCTGTTATTTGGGATATGCGTCGTGTAATATGCGTCGTATCCGTTCTTTGGGAAGCACGGAGTGCCCCCCTGCGCGAGATGTCGGGCGAGATCCACCCACAATCTCAATGGGCGCGTCCGATTGGCAATGAAGAGCCCCGTTTGAAGGAGCGCTATCTCGCACTCCTTCTTGATATCTCTCGCCTTCGCGGTGTCGTCGATCCGGCGGTTTGCCTTGAGCGCCGCTGCCACCGTCTTCTGTCCGCGCAGAGCTTGACGGTGCTTCTTTGTGCGCTGGTGCCTCCGCATAGCTTGGATCTGCACATCGGTCGCCCCTTCACCTGTGCGGCCGAAGTTCGTTCCCACGCCAGCATGCTCAATGCAGACCATGCACCTCTTGGACGGAAATCCTGCTTTCGTCCGACGAAGAACAAGCCAAGGAAATTCGCCAGACCACGTTTCTTGCACATGAACAACGCCTCCTGGTACTTGTCCTCTCCAATGTCCGGTGGCGATGTTTCAGAAGTAACTTCAACCGCTTTCGATTTTAGTTCATGCTGTGGAGCCTTTGGAGAAGAGTTCCCCACACCAGACGTGTGCGTTGCTTGACTGGCACCCCACTGGATCGTTGTCTGGTGGTACGTCGGTTTGATCCCCTTTTAGAGAGAAGGGCCGACGCGAGCAGATCCGGCAGCGACAGGCGGACGGTTCCGTGTAGAGCCCGAAGCGATAGGCGGATCGACGCGTGTTGAAGCGGCAGCGACATGCCTCAAACATTCGCCCTGCATCCATATCGTAGGTGCCTCTGGAACCGAGGAAGGGAGAACCACTGTGGGTACTGCGGGGGATGTCAGAAACTAACAGGCAGGAATGATTGGATTGACATCAAACTGAGTACAAGTGCTAACCCTAATGGGTTGTACCCCATATAGGCTACCCCACTACAGCCTACACAACATAAGCAGCATTATAGTTTGACACACCCCCATAGGCAGTGGGGGAGAACAAGGGGTCACAAGACCAGTCAAGAAAAGCAAAGCTAGCTCAGGTTGGATCACGAAGTCACCACACACTGTGAGCACAAGCAAGTAGCCACAAGGCCAGTTCACATGCAGAGTTATAGATATGGGAACAAGCAGTACAGTGATCACAACCTAGTAGGTGTAAGCATGCAGGTACAAGTATATAGATCACAATACAAGCAAAGTCACGAAGTGAGCAAGTGAGGCAAAGTAGGCACATGGCCTAATGGTATGATGATGACCAAGTGGAAGTGCCTTGGTGAATGTATCAGCAGTGTTGGCCCGAGTGGCCACGTAAGCAAGACGAAGCTGACCACGCTGCTGCAACTCTCGAGCAAGGAAGTAACGCAGAGCGATGTGCTTCGTTCTGTGCTCCAGTCTGTGCTCCTGACACAAGGCAATTGCAGCCTTGTTGTCTACGTGCAGAACTGGAGGAGAACGAGGCCGCTCTCCCAAGTCGGTCAGCAAGTAGGTGTGCCAGCATAACTCCTGTGCAGCCATGGCTCCCGCGTAGATTCCAGCCTCACAATTGGAGCTGAGAACAGAAAACGAGCGGGTAGACCGCCAAGAAACTTAGCCGGAGACAAGGCTGAACGTGTAACCCTGAGACGACCGCTGCGTAACCAGGTTGTCAACTCAAGAAGCGTCTGAGTGTCCAGTGAGGACAACTGGACCCCGCCCTCCAAGCATGAGCCCCATGCCCGACGTACTGCACAAGTAACGCAGTACCTTCTTCGCAGCATCCCAGTGCACCTTTCAGTGTCTACCAGGAGCCACGTAGCGTGCCAGAAGGCCAAGAGGGTATGCAAGGTCAGGACGAGTGCAGGTCATCAGGTACATGAGGCAGCCCACTAGCTCTGAATACGGGCCACTCGGCTCTACGGACTCGTCCGAAGGTGGAGCTGAGAGCGAGTGACCGTTAGCCAGAGGAGTGGACTGTGGCGAGGACCAAGTGAAGCCGAAGCGCTGAAGGACCTGCTGCACCATGTGTGACTGGGTCAGGGTGATGGTGCGCCGTGCTCTGTCCCAGGTGATCTGCAAGCCAAGATAGCTGCGCAGCTCACCCAGGTCTGTGCACGTGTGTCTTTTCTGCAGCTGCGACTTCACAAGGGCGAGTGCCTCAGTGTCAGCAGCGGCAACGTGCTTCAGCACTCGAAGAGTGGTCATCTTCGGGGTAGGGGAGAAGGTCTGGAAGAAGTCAACTCCATGTCGCTGACTGAAGCCTCGTGCAACGTATCGAGCCTTGAAGACAGGTGGAGAACCCAGCGGCCGCTTCACCCTGAAAATCCACATGCCATCGACTATGTTCGCCCCAGGAGGGGGAACTGCGTTGACGTAAGTGCCTGTGGACTTCCAGGATGCCATCTTTGTGTCCATGGCTATCTGCCACTGAGAGGAGTACTCACCCGCGATCGCCTCAGCGTAAGAGCGCGGGGTCGGGATGTCTGGTGCATCCGGGTCTCCCTCAGGGGCAAGCAGCACGGCCACGAGATGAGATACAGCGGCTGCAAGACACTCAACGTCCTCCTACCTGTCCTCAAGGACGTCCGTGCCAACAGCACACTCACCCCTGACGGACGGAGGACAGACGGACTCAGACTCAGTAAGAAGACTAGCGGCATAGTCGAGACAACAAACAGCAGCAAAGTCAACAACCTCAGCAACTAAGGAAAACACAGCAGCAGACTCAAACGAAGGGTCAGTGACAACAGTGGCTAAGAGACGCGTAACAGTAGGACTTGCAGCACGAACCAGGTCAGACTCAGGGTCGGGTCTGTCAGCAAGAGAGGACGCAGGAGGAGACGGCAGAGGGACACGCTGTGGAACAGAGGAAGGACGAAGTGCCATATGGTGCGTGCCGGGGACAGGAGGAGGACGCTCACGCGAAACACGACGACCAGTGCGAACAGCACAAGCAGGTGAGGCAGGACAAGACGCAGGCTCACGACGCTCTGTAAGCAAGTCGGTCTGCTCAGTGTAAGGAGAGGGAGCAGGCAGTGGGGAGCCTGGCTCTAACGGGAGACTAGTAGAAGACGGGAGGCTAAAAACCTGGTGAAGCACCGAGCCAGGCGGCGGCAGAGACGACGGTGATGGCGGAGCGAAGAACAGTCGTGGCTGTGCAGCACCACCAGCACCAGTTCCTCCAGCACCAGCACCTCCAGTACTAGTACCAGTAGCTCCAGGGCCTCCTGCAGCTCCAGAAACTCTAGCTCCAGCGCCTCCAGCTCCAGCACCTCCAGCTCCCGGGTGACCAGCTCCAGCGCCTACAGCTCCAGTGTCCGCAGCACCACCAAATCCGGCCGCTCCAGTACCTCCAGCTCCCGCGTCTCCAGTCGCAGTGCCGCCAGCCCCAGCAGCGCCACGCCGAAGGCGATAGTGCTGAGTGTACCACTAGCGTAGCTGATGCGGCGAGAGAGCACCTCCAGAACCTCCAGGACGAGCAACGCCAGCACCTCCAGCACCTCCAGCACCAGCAGCACCACCAGCTCCAGCAGCTCCAGTACCTCCAGCACCAGCAGTACCACCAGCTCAGGCAGCTCCAGTGCCTCCAGCACAAGCACCTCCATGACCAGCAGCTCCAGCACCTGCAGTACCTCCAGCACGAGCACCTCTTGGAGCGGCAGCTCCAGCACCTCCAGTACCTCCAGTAGAAGCAGCACCTCCAGCTCCGGCCGCTCCAGTGCCTCCAATACGAGCACCTCCGGGACCAGTAGCTCCAGCACCTCCAGTACCTCCAGTAGCAGTAGTACCACCAGCTCCGGCAGCTCCTGTGCCTCCAGTACGAGCACCTCCGGGACCAGTAGCTCCAGCACCTCCAGCAGCAGCAGCAGCACCACCACCACCAGCTCCCGCAGCTCCAGTACCACCAGTACAAGCAACTCCGGGACTAGCAGCTCCAGCACCTCGAGTAGCAGTAGCACCACCAGCTCCAGCAGCTCCAGAAACTCCACAACCTCCAACACCTCCAGCACTAGCAGCACCACCAGCTTTGGCAGCTCCAGCGTCACCAGCACCCCCAGGCTCCGCACGCACAGACGCAGCACCCCTGGGCTCCGCACTCGCAGGCTCAGCACCTCCAGGCTCCGCACGCTTAGGCTCAGCACCCCCACATTCTGCACGCTCAGGCTCAGCACCTCCAGGCTCCGCACGCTCA